CTTCAAACAATTTTTCACAATAGCCAAGTAATCTTGTAAGCCTCAATAAATTCATCCATTAAGCTCATACAAATGGTTTTCACATCTAAAATATTACGACAGCAGGTCATAAATTAAACTTACCCTCACTAACTCGAGTAATCGTAAGCTCAAGGTCACCCTGAGCTTCTTGTAGAGCAAAGAGTAAATCTGCCTCCGTCCAATCAGCAAATAGCTCCTGTAATTTGGTCAATTCATCCTTATATTGAGATTTAAGATGTTTTTCTTCTTCTGTTTCTGCTATGTCTGTGGCGGTATGGCTACTCTTTACTGCCGGATTCGTTCGTTGTGTCTCGTGTTCGAATGAACCCATAGTTATAATTGATTTATAACGGTGAGGATGAAACTGACTTTACTCTTTTAGCTATTTTTAATGTTTATATTTATAGGAACCAAAAAATTTTTGGTCACGTATAAAAAGGGGTTCTCGTGAATTGTCTCATCTGATCAATTTTTCAATCCTTCATTTTGATTTGCTAACATGATTTATACGTATTAAAAATCGTATCGGTATGGTTTGGTAAAAAAAAAAAAAAAAAAAAAACAATACTTTCAGACAAGCTACTAAAACAAGGAAAGTTATTCATTTACGCGTATTTTAATTTGTGGGCTAAAAACAATTATTATTATTTTTTATTCACATATTTCTTGAAAAATGATAAATATCTTGGTTGATTAAGCCGATCTGTTAAAAGTAGAGAACTTTTATTATACGGTTTCAAGTTTATTATAAGAAAAAACGTCGTAAGCAGTGCATGAAATTCGAGAACGTATATGATAAATTATGAAACCCTTCAAGTTCTCATACATCAAGTGTAACTTAAGATTTTTATGTTAGAGAACATTAAGAATATATAAATTATTACTAAGCATATAGATATACTCAGATCAACTTTAAGACTTATACGTACTCGTTGAAAAGATCTTGTATATTACTATATATATATATTAAGTGATTATATATTTGATAAGCAGCAATCTTTATTTAGATACGATTACTAGAATGTTAAAATTTTTAAAATTGTTAAATAAGTGGCTTATTTGAAGTAAATTTATTTTATGTTTATAGATAATTTGGTATATATATACTTGAGTACGTATAACAAAAAAAAAACTTAGATTTTTTAGTTTTATGGCTGATGAGTTTTTATTAACTGTATTTAGATTACGGGTCATATCGGCCGATTTTTGGAATTTATAAGTAGAGTGTATTTTTTAAAAACTTTAAAGCTAAATAATTTCTGATCTAC